AGATATTATCCACCCTGGCAGGAACAGAGTTAAAACAGTCAAGGGATGTGAACTGGCCAAGATATTTTGAGACACGCCCCACCAACACATAATAGGGTTTAGGTTGCAGGAAGGCCTTGGCCTGAACTATTAGGAAAGGTACTTGATTCCTTAGTCATTCCCGTGGAAGACCACACGTATAGGGAGATACAGGACCAATGCTGTCAATAAGGCTCTTAGAATTCCGACCACTTTATCCCCTGTCTTGAATAAGCTTTTCATGAAAGTACCTAAAACATCAGAAAGCAAGGACTTTGGGGGCCTAGAAAAGAGACTATATGAACTTTTGGAGGGCCTGCAACAGAATAAATGAAAACATCTGTGTGAATTTGCTCTGAAATGAGGGAGATTGTAGGGCAGTGGCTAACCTCACCCAACTCAAACACCTGAATCTTTTTTACCTACCTAAAAGAACTTGAGGGTTCATCTGAAGGAAATTAAGACTTGTTCAAGATCAAACTGGAGGGTGCAATTTTATGGTAAATACAAAAATAAAAAAAAAAAGAGGGCCTCCCCAGTGGCCCAGCAGTTTAGCACTGTGTTGTGAAGCTGCCTGCAGACTCTGCAGCGCTGGTTCGATCCCTGGCCACCGGGCGAGGGTCCCACATGGCGCGCAGACCTCTGTGCTGCCTGCTGCTCCCCTCAGCAGTGTACTTCGTCAGTCTGCCTGCTCTGCTCTCCACTCTGTCTCTGGTGAATTCTCTCACCTTCCTGCGCTTCTGACTGTAGCCAGTGCTTGTATAAATAAATAAATAAATCTTTAAAAAAAAAAAAAAAGAGTTTAGCTTTCTAGAGACCCAGTGATGGGTCCTCAGAGCCTCTATCACAGGAACAGTTATGCAGAACTCATCAGTATTATTTCTTCCTTCAGAAGACAGATGATGACCTTCTTTTTGATGCCCTTCTGCAAATAAGATGTTAATTCCCCCAATAAAGTGGACAGGGCTCTAGAAGGGTCTGATGTCTGGCTCTCTGAATTACCCAGAATTATCACATAAGCCTGGTGAAGCCCCTTCATGAGAGAAATGGTAGTGTAAAGAAAGGCTGAATGCCTTACCAGCAGTAGGAAAGGGCTGAGAAACCAGAAATTAAAGGGACTGGACACTGCGTTCAAGATGATACATCTTGGGCTTCTCTCCACTAGTCAAGAGTTCAGATCCCATTCTGCAATGTGCCAGCCATCTTCACCCACCTCCCTCAAACAACCACTCTTGGGTCACCTCATCCAAGCATTTAAAATTGTTGATAGTGACCATAAAGGCCAGCCACTATTTATCCTCAAAATAGGGATTAGCCAGATGTTTCTGCAAGATGTGCAGTTGCTCATCTGCTGGGGAGAATTCATTTGGAAGTGCTTTCTTTTGTTTGCACTCAGACTCAGAAATGTGTAGACACTAGTATTTTTATTATGCTTTAGATGCTGTCAGCTGCATTTTCAAAAGCTCCACCAGCAACACCAGCAAAAGCAAAAGCATCTAGAAAACACTCCAACCCTGGTATTGTATGTTTTAGATCTAGGACAGAGGTGCTCAAAGTATGGTTCCTGGATCACAGCACTTGGGAAATTATTAGATATGCAAATATCTGGCAGATCCTAGATCTACTAGTCAGAATTTCTGGGGTTGAGACCCTGAAATGAGCACACTCTCTGGATGATACTGATACAACGAAGTTTCAGAATTTCTGCTCTAGACCATTTTTAAGAAAAGGACTGAAGAAATAACTAGAATCTAATGTAACCTGCAAAATCAACCTCACCAACTCCATTCACATAGATGCTAGAAATTCCATTAAAAACCCAACTGCTAATGACTAAGTAAACTCCATTAAAATTTCTAGTAAGCTAGGGTTTAATTGATTTTTTTTAAGATGTATTTTATTTATACAAGAGCTGGGGTACAGGCCAGAGTCGCGGGAGGGTGAACGGATTCACCAGAGACAGAACGAGGGGCAGAACAGGCAGGCAGACCAAAAGCAATGCTGAGGGGAGCAGCAGGCAAGACAGGAGAGGTCTGCCTCTCCGTGTGGGATTCTCCCTGGCCGGCAATCGAACCGGCGCCACAGAGGCTGCGGACAGCTTCACAGCGCTGCGCTCAACCCGCTGTGCCACCGGGGAGGCCCACTAGGGTTTAATTGAAAAACACTTTTTCTTCAACCCTGGAATAATAATCTTTAGCTTATTTGTCTGATAAAAAGACAGAAGCTCTGTTTTGGAAGCTTAATTACCTAAGTAATATTAATAAATGGCAGTTTGTGAAAGTATTAGCTATCAGTCCCTGTCACTCTGTCATATTTTCCAAGATCCAAAGCCAAAGGAAATGGACACTGAGACTGAGTTGATAGTCAAAACCTTGTTGATATGATGTATATAGACATTGAAAGATTTGTCAACCAGTATCATGGACCAGACAAGGAGACATGAATTCTACTCTTCCATTTCTGCCCCCTTCTCATCTAACAATCTCAATACATGGAGAACAGAAGATCCAGCCTTCACTCAACCAACCCCCTAAGGGGTTGCCTTAGTTTGAGTCTCCCAGAGGTACACGCCCAGGCAAGAACTGGGCTTGGGTTGCTTAGAGTGGTGACTCCACTAGTGAGGGAGGGCAGTGACACAGGGAAGGGAAGCAAGCCAATGAGGGTGCATAATGAGCAGGCCATCACTATGGACACCTGGGGCTGGGGCCCTGATAGATTATAGCACCCCCTCTCTGAACCTGCAGGGGAACTCAGCCCCCTACCCAACTCCCCCAGGGGCTGAGGGCTGCTCCTGGAAGTCCTAGTGTCCACACTTCGGACAGTGCCTCCTGCAGATCACTCATGTTTCCACAGCCTGACAGGTGCAGGAAGCTGCCAATGTTCTCAGTGTTTCTGTCTGACTTCGGGTGCCCCCAGGAGAGGTAGATGGAACACCAATATCAAGTGCAAAGAAGCCATCTTTACCCAGAAACTGCTGTGTGTCTGTCTCCTGAGAGACAGAGGTTCCCTGACTATCCTTACAAGTAGAAAATGAACTGTGGACACAAAAGACTTCACAATACCTGTCTATACCTACCACATGCTGTGAGGCCCTAAAGTCATTTAATCTCACCAAGGGTTAGTTTCCCCTGTGGTCAAGAGAAGGTTGGACGGAGTCATTTTGGGGTGTAAGTCAATGACCACAAAGCTGTTTCAAGGCTCCCATGAGCTAGTTGGAGGCCTTGCCCAGCTTCTGCATTTGTGTGCTGTGTTCTTTGTTTCTGCTGTATCCAGAGTATCACCTGTACTATTATTCACACCATATTTTTCCTCAAATGATTCATTTTTACTTGCATGTATTTAAAAAAGGGGATTTTTATGTCACCCACTATAAATAAAAGGTAATCATAAAAATCAATTCACAACTGCTAAGAAGTTGGCCCTCCATGAGCCATCTAAAATATTTCCCACCCCACCAGAGTTACGACCCCACACTCTGGAGAAAACTAAGCTGATATCTGTCATATCAAGTGCTCTGTAATAAAACCTGTCATGGGGCTGGGTCACATGAGGAGGAAAAATGGAAATGTCTTCCTCTGTTCTCTTGAGAAGGAGCAACCTCAAGATTCTTAATCAAGAGATTAGAGGTGGTACTGCATCCAAATATCACTGCCTACTTCATGGTAGCACAGGGGTTAAAGTCTCAGCACTATCAAGGTATCGCCAGCCATTGCAGCTTGAGTTTGATCTCCAGCTAGGGAGCTAACCCACATGGTGCAGCAGACCTCTCCTGGCTCTCCTGCTGATCCCCTCCGCAGTGTGTTTCAGTCAGTCTGCCTGTTCTGCTCCCCACTCTGTCTCTGGTGAATTATCTCATGCCCCCCCACCTCTGGCCTGTACCCCAGCTCTTGTATGCATAAATAAAGAAAAATAAATCTTAAAAAAAAAAACAAAAACAAATATCACTGCCCAAAGCAAGTTCCCCCCTAAGGATGGTGTTTGGGACCAGTATACATGAATGACAAAAAGCAGCTGGTTACTGTAATGCTGGTGAGTTCTGATAGCACCACTTAACCAATCAGCTTAATAGTGTACAGTTTTCTCAAGCGAACACTTATCTCATGGTACAGAACAGAGTGTCTGATATGTGAATTCACTCACAAAAATTTCATTGAAATTAAGAAGTCAAGAAAAATAGTGACAGCAAAAGAACTAGAAAAATCCTGAAATAACATAAAGAGGAGGTATGGGGGACAGTCACTCTAGACATTTAGGTCAAACCTGTCATTTAGCTGCTAAACACCAAGGGCTGCTCGGCTCACCTTGTTAAGCCATTCAAGCATTTCTTTCAGCAGCAGCTGACACATTCATTTTCATACCTGCAAATTGGACACAAAAATGAGGGCTGGACAGCTTCCACAATTCCCCATGTGTTGATCACATGATCCATGTTCAATTTAACTGGAGCTGAGTACTACTTGTTCTCCTTCAAGGAGGGGTTCTTAACTTCAAAGCTAATTAGCAAATGCTGCATTTCTGAGTCCACTACTGCCCAACCCTTTTCACAGCATGGCACATGCAGAGTGGGTAACTGGGAGTGATAAAAGGAACAAGTGCCTCCTAGCCTAGGTCAATCACACACACACACACACCCCTCACCTAGTAACCCCAAAAATGATAAGGAAATTATATTTCAGAATACCTGTGCAATAGTGGCACAGAAATTGGGAGCTGCCTTAAGGCCTTCAACTAACGCCACTAACCTGACCTTGTTTAGATTTCTGACATTATCATATTGATTCACATGTGTGCCATCTATCAGTTTTCTGGATCATGCCATTTAACCCTCACAAAACCTGGGAAGAGAGCACTTATTGTTCCCCCTTGTGAAAGATGAAGAAGATGAGGCTGAGAAATTTGAACAAAGCCTCAGGCAACTGCTCCCAGCACTTAATTATCTCTGCAGCAGCATGGGGCAGGCTGATCGGGTCAGAGTCAGCCTCTGGGAGCAGTCCTCAACCTCTGACAGAAGGTGAGAGCTAAGGAACTGCAGCACCCAGCTCCTTGCTGCTTGCCTGTGGCAACTGAGGGGCGTTCCCCACACTGGTGCCCACAATGGTAACTTGTTGGATAAAGAACTGGCTGTCTTTCCTTCCTGCATCACTTCCTCACTCCCCAAACAAGGCTCCCTGACTCACTTACCTCAAGCCGTATCTCAGGCCCTGCTTCCCTGTTTCTGAAGGGTTAAGAGAGGAATGAAATCAGACTTACACTTGAGTTTGATGCCCAAGACTATTCTCTCATAGCCACACCACATTGCCTAGATCAGAGCAGGGAAAGTCTCCCAATTTAAACCTATACAGATTAATAAAGCAATGGATAGTAAAGGCAGGTAATTTTTTCTCCTAGTCGGTTTCTTCCCTGGACTTCTGCAAAATGATAGGGATCAAGAAATCCTTAGAGTGCCTTCCTGGTGGCCTAGGGGCAAAGTCTCAGCGCTATCACACCTATGGCCTGAGTTCGATTCCTGGCCAGGGTGTTAACCCACATGGCACAGCAGACCTCTCCTGTCTTGCCCACTGCTCCCCTCAGCAGTGAATTTCAGTAGATCTGACTATTCTGCTCCCCACTCTGTCTCTGGTAAACTCTCTTGCCTACCCACACCTCTGGCCTACACCTCAGCTCTTGTATGCATAAATAAATTAAATAAATCTTTTTTTAAAAATCTCTTATATGGTTAGATAATTTTTAAGACATAAAAATATGTTCAGTTAAAAGTCTCCCCCACACTGTCACCCGCTGCCCAGTTCCTACCACTTAACTCCCATAGTAACCAGTGTCACTGGATTTTCTGTGTGTGCTTATGTCTAGAAACTCTTTTCCCTAGCACAATCAAAAATTTCCTACTCTTCCCCCTTTCCTTTAAAAATAAATGATATTAACAACACTATGCTTTTTTATAACTGTGTAGTATTCCATTGCATGAATGAAGCACAGTTTTGTAATGTGTCTCCTACTAATGTGCATTTAGTTTGTTCCAGGCTTTTGCTATTGCAGATCACATTGCAGTGAATATTCTTGCAGACATGCTTTTATATACCTTTCGGATTATCACAGAATGCATTCCTTGAAGCAGCCCTGTTGATTCAAATAGTGTACTCATTTATAACCTGAAAGATGTTGACAGATTGCTGAGCATCCTTTTTTTCTTTTTAACAGCTCTCCGGTGATTTTAGCACTTAATTCAGTCTGTTGAAGGAGGGGGCATGCCCCGGACATCTAAATGTTTAAAATCTTAAATGACCAATTATTTAGGAGTATTGCAGATTCTGATTGGGGAGCTTGAGGGGGTTAGACCCAGTATTCTCCATATCTAACATGCTTTTAAGTGATGCCAAAACCACTGACCCATGGGCTGCTTCCAGAACCCTAGAGGTCGCATTGAAACAACTTTCAGATGTCCAAAGATGATGAGACACCACACGCCCAGAAAATGAATTCCAGTGCCAGCGCAGCAATTCAGTAGCCAAGGCACCATGCCTGAAATTCCTACATTTTCTGAGCCTCAGAGACTTCATCTGTAAAAGGGGTGCAGTATCATCTCTACCAGGATGAGACTGCAAGGATGAACTAGCATCTGATAACGTCTCAAAACCATTGTGCTGAGCAAAAGGAGACCGACACCTGAGTACATCTGTAAAATTACGTTTCTGTGAAATTCTTGAACAGGCAAAATTAATATGTGGTGATAGAAATCAGAACACTGGGTACCGCCGGTTGTGCAGAAGCAGATTTACTGGAAAGTAATTGCGTGGACATATACATTAGTCAAAACGTAATGAACTGTGCACTTAAAATCTGCAATTTATTGTATGTAAATTGTACCTAAATTTTTAAATTCAGTAAAAGCAAATAATAACATTTCATGTAAATTTAAATGTCATCATAATGGAAATTAGTCTTATCTTAGGGAAATACACCAGGCACATGTCCTCTGCAAAGATGACATCATCGGTGGCCAGGGGACCAGAGCTGGTCCTCCAACTTTGGGTATTATTTTGCCCCCAGACCCGCGCCACCTCATCCCCAGCTGCCCACCCCTTGGGTTTCCGCCACCCATGACACTCACTTGCTCTGGAACTCGTCGGGCACGCGCTGCGCCTCCGTGCCCTGGCGCTCCAGCCCGGCTTGCTCTGCCACCAGGTCCCGGGTACGCTGGCGGTTGCTCTGGGCTTGACCCACCAGGGCATCCTCCGGACCCGCCAGCTCACCCAGGCGCTGGAAGGCGTCCAACTGCCAACGGAGGACGGCGTGGCGCTGCTGGAGCCCTCGGGCCCACTGGATGTGGGCGGCCACCCATTAGCCGAGTCCCTGCAGCGTCTCCACTCTTGGCGTGGAGACACTGCCCTTCGCCAGATGGGCAGACCCGGCGGCGCCCAGCGCCTCCTTAGCGCTCTGGTGCTGCTCATTGTGGGTCTGGAAGATGTGGCAGCGCGGGTACATGGTTTCCAGAGGGCGAGAGCGCGGGAAGCCGGCTCCAGGAGGCCCCTACCCGGAGCAGGCAGCCTGCTAAATAAACATTGCGGGCCTCTGGCAAGCTGCTGGGACTTCCCAGGACACATCGGCTCTTGGGCTCAACGCTGTGCCCACCCTGGGATAGAATAAAAGAGCAGCAGGCCTGCTTTTGTGAGTTGGATTAGCGAACCATACAGCTCAGGGGTTTGCAAGGTTAAATTGGGCAATGAGGTTTTGTTCCGCGATTGTTACAGCCTATTGCTTTGTGATTGAATGTAGGGTCAAGAGGGCAAGAGAGGCCTGACTTTCTTTTGACTGGTTCCACTGAGAATTGTGAAGGAATCCCAAGGGAGCTTGTTAAACTTGGACCAGCTCAAGAGCCTAAGGGCCCCTGCTTTGTGTCCTCTTTCAGTCATGCTCTCAATTATAGAATCTTTTTTACAATACTCCTTTTTTTCTGATGACTTAAGCAATTCTTTTTCATAACTACAACATGACCTCTAGGAACCTCCCTCTCCCTATGTGAGGGGTTCTTAACCGTGCATTCAAAATTCACATCTCAATAAATTGCAAGGCGTGTGTAATTAAGTACATACTATTACTTGTGCATATTAATGAAGAATTTACTCTTTGTACAATCACAGGAAACAGATGTGCAGATATTATTATTATAATGTCAACCTTGTTCCATGTTATCACATCCTTTATGGTGCAGGAGAAACAAGCCGTGCTCCATCAGGACATTAGGATTAGGGTAGTAGATTCTTTGAACTAAAGAAAAAATCCTTAGTCTCAAAATTTAATCCATTGCTCAACTCTCAATTAGAGAATATAAAAGAATTTTAAAAAAAGATTTATTTTATTTATGCATTAAAGAGCTGGGGTACAGGGCAGAGGTGGGGGTGGTGGTGAGAGGATTCACTAGAGACACAGTGGGGAGCAGAACAAGCAGATATACTGAAATATACTGCAGAGAGGAACAGCGGGTGAGACAGGAGAGGTCAGCTGTGCCATGTGGGTCAGCTACCTGGCCAGGGATTGAACTCATGCCACGCCCCAGTAGCTGGTGATAGCTTGCTAGTGCTGAGATTTAACCCCTTGTGCCACCAGGGAGGCCCCTATAAAAGAATTTTTATTCCACTTCAAGAGCAGTCTTGAATTCAAGGTCAATAGGCCTTTTATTACAATTGGTAGGATTTTCATCTCCTATGAAAAAAAAGAGTAAGGTGGTATAGTTAGCACTTCTCCATGGAACATCTGGCTAATTTGTGATTTTGTAATCAACTATAAAATTCTAATTTTTAAATGGCTATAAAATATGACAACCAGTGTTAATCTACAGCTACATTTCCTTTCTGGTTGGTTCTCTTAGTTTGAGTTCCCCCAAAGCAGAGCCAAGACAAGGGTTAAACTGCAAGTGGTTTATGTGGGAGGTGATCTTAGGAAGTCTCTGTGGGGAGGTATGAAGGGACAGGGAAGACGTAGCAGTGTTTGTGATGACTAGGCACCAGGTACAGAAATGCACCTTAATCCTGCTGGGGAATCTGCAGACAGCTCAGAACAGGTACTCCAGAACTATCCTACTGAGGGGGAAGAAGCTGGAGATTCACCCACTTACTCCCATGGAATGAGGACTGCTAATGGGGGCTCTTGTAACCTGCCATAGGCGCCACATGGTTGTGAATGGCCAGATGAAGCCCCAAGGAAGAGATATGCAGCTTCTGGCATCTGGAAGAGGGACCATGGAAATAGGACTACACCAGGGCCTCCTATAAGGTTAAAGAACAACCAAGAGCATCACACTTCCCACTCTCTGTATGCCTTCTGCAGTTCCTGGACTCACTCTCCTATTTAATCAGGTAGAAACAAGCATGGATCCATACACTGGATCCACAAACATCACAGTAGAAACAAAATATCCTTATGTATTAATACTTTTCTTCTTGTTAAGATTTTTTAAATTTTTTTTCACCTACCATATTCATTCTGCTTTTATTTTACAAATATTTTTAGAATGATTTGTATTAACATGCCCTTTGCTCAATAGCATAAATATAGTCTCTTATAGGCTCCACTTGTTTTAATTAAGCATTAACTCTGCTCTACTTATTTTATGTGCTTGTTATTCTAACATGGTCAGTGGGAGTCCCATTGGATGGCTCTTTCGTCCTTCTAGCAATGACCCCAATGCTCTTGAAAACGTCCTTGCTTTCTAGAAACAAAATATCCTAAACATATCTGATTTTTCCATGTCCCAACACATGGGTATACTTCCTTTAAAAGAGTTCTACTTTCTTTAGGAAAAGAATTGTTTTTGAGGGCAATGTCCCGGAGAGTGCACATACCAATCGGTGATAAGATTTCTGTTGTAATTGCTGCAGTATTAACCACTTTTAAAGGAATGGAGAATAGATTCTAAGGTTTCTTATTACAACAAAAAAACCAACATTTGGCCCTCCCTGGTGGCGCAGCGGTTGAGCGCTGGGTTGCGAAGCTGCCCGCAGCCTCTGCAGCGCCAGTTCGATCCCCGGCCACCAGGCAAGGGTCCCACATGGCGCGCAGACCTCTCCTGCCGCCCGCTGCTCCCCTCAGCAGTGTATTTCTTCATCAGCCTGCCTGTTCTGTTCCCCACTCTGGCTCTGAATTCTCTCACCCTCCTGCGCTTCTGACTGTACCCAGTGCTTGTATAAATAAATAAATAAATCTTAAAAAAAAAAAAAAACCCACATTTTTCTTTTTTGTAACAATATGAGATGGTACATGCTAACCAGATTTATTATGGCAATCATTTCATAGTATATATAAGCTGAATCAGTATGCTATAAACCCTAACTTACAGTGCTGTAGGTAGGTCAACTATATTTCAAAAAACTGGAAGAAAATAAAAAAATAAAAAATATGGACTAGAATATATAGTAATCATTTCAGTTATTAAAATTTATTAGTTTACTATATTTTTCTTATAGTGTATGGATTCACAAATCATTAATGATTTCTAATCTAAGTCTCTAAGAAAAAAAATGACAAATTTACTGATGCATTTGAACAGGTAGAAATTAACATTGAGGTAAGTTATATATTTCTCTTAGAAAGTTTGAGGATATTAGTGATATGTCTACACAAATAAGCAAACAGCAAAAATAAGGCAATCAGTAACTCCAAAACAAAAAATTGAGGAAATAAAAATATAAACAAACTATCTTACTTGATACAGTAGAAAAACCATATATAGTTGGTCCTATTAAGAAATTAATTATTAATTTATCCAAAAATTCTGTTGTACATAATTAGGAGAATGGGGATGGTCGTGAGAAGGGTATATGTGAAAAAGGATTCATTCTTCATCTTTCATAATAGAAAGATAATACATAATGACTATAATAGATAAATCAAGGAATAACAGTACTAATTTATTACAGAATATAGAATTACAGAGTGTTTAATATAGAGTTAAATAGCAGAAGAAACAAAGCAGGGATTTAAAATGATTGACTCTTCTGTATCCTCAGAGGGAAATAGAAAAGCAGAGAGGGGAGCTCTTTCATTATAAAATTAAACTTTGTGTTGTTACTTGACATTTTAAGTATTTGTATATCACTTTGCTTAAAAACATTAAAATTGAAAACAGAAACAAGGCAGGCTGGTGAATCAACCTATGTAAACTAGTTTACAATGAAATAACAAACAATCCCTCAACTTCAGGGGCTTAAAGCAACAAAGGTTTATTTATCACTTAAGACACATGTCCATTTAAAGTCCCCTGGGGCCTCTGTTCTGTGTCATTCTCATCCAAGCAGATGGACTATTGGAGCGGCCACCATCTTGAACATGGCTGGTCACCATAGAGAAAAGTTGGCTGCACTGGCTTACAAAGTTTCCACCCAATCACATCAACTTGGCCAAAGCAAGTCACATAACCCCACCTAAGTTCAAGTCCATTGGATAATGCAATCCTGCCATGTGCCTGACGAAGAAAGAGTGGGTACATTTGTCAGCACCCCTAATGACTGCCCCACTGGGAGGCAATTATCCTGCAGGAATAGAGATCATATGGAGGAGGAGGAAATGGTTGTTAAATGAACTTGTTAATTCAGGAGCCATGTAGAGATAGTTTCCATGGATTTGATGAATGATCAGATATGGAAGTTACACTAAATGCAGTTAAATGGCATCAGTTTATGGGTGGGACTAGGAAATGGGTGTTACCAAGATCAGAAAACCCTGAGGTCACATTCTGCTTCCATTACTGGTTTGTGACTTAAGTAGTCTGGTAAAATGGGAAAAATCACTTAAACGGTCACCATGCATCTCAGTTTGCCTGAAACAATTCACATTCACACCCTTTATTTCACCATAAGTATAAAAAGGTTTCACTCCCAAGAATTTCTTGGTTGGGCTGTGAAGGACATGTTTCTTATTCTGGCCCGCAAAACCTGAGTGTATAGCCTGAAATAATCATAAGGAGATGCCCAGAGAAACCTCAAATAAGGAACGTTCTACTAATAAAAAACAGAAGGAGATAATATTCTTGTTAAAAAAAAAAAAGATTCATTTATTTATGGGTATAAGAGTTGGGGTGTAGGCCGGAGATGTGGGGGCAAGAGGGGTGGTGTGTGTGTGAGAGGATTCACCAGAGACAGAGTGGGGAGCAGAATAGGCAGATAGACTGCAATACGCTGCTGAGTGAGGCAGCAGGTGAGACAGGAGAGGTCTGCTGCACCATGTGGGTCAGCTCCCTAGCTGGAGATTGAACTCAGGTGAGGCCCCTGAGATGATATTCTTTAGCAATGTTAATATCATAAAAGACAGACTATAAAGATGTTCCAGATTAAAGGACATTAAAGAGTCAAGACATCTAAAATGTAATAGGGGTGGGAAAGGTGGAAAAATGCTATCAAGGGAATCTGCAGATCTATTGACAAAACTGGAATAGTAGGTTAATTGAAAGAATTCTATCATTGTTAAATTCGCCTAACTTTATAACTATT